TTTGGGTCATGAAATTTCTTCGTGAGACCAAAGTCAATGACATTGACTTGATTGCCATGCTTCCCTATGCCCATGAGAAAGTTGTCTGGCTTGATATCCCAGTGAATGAAGTTGTGTGAGTGGATGTACTCGATACAGGAGATCTGTGGTGATACAGTGGTGCGTTAGTTCTCAAAGACAGTGGCTGCAGTGGAATTTACTCACAAGTTGGTCCACAAGGAGCAAGACAGTCTTGAGGGTGAATTTGCGCTTGCAGAAATTAAAAAGGTCCTCTAGAGAGGGTCCAAGAAGGTCCAAGACCATGGCATTGTAGTTGCACTTGGTGCCAAACCAGTGTACGAAGGGAATGCCAACACCGCCAGCAAGGGTCTTGTAGACCTTTGGCTTGTACTCGAGCTGGGAGTGCTTGGCTTTTATGGACTTGAATTTGATGGCAACTTCTTCGCCGAAGATGATGTTGATTCTGAGGTAGATATCACCTGTTTAAACGAGTGATTAGTAACCATGTGAATATGCATTGAGGGATTTGTGCACTTAGGAATGGTGTTGAGGAAGAGGAGATCATAGGATGGACTATGTGAAAGTTAGTAGTACATTGCTTGTGTTATGCACAATGAAAAGCACACATAACTGTGCACTGATGTCATGCAGTGCTGGTGCTGTGCATGTCTATACACCAGAAACGGAAATAGAAATGCACCATCCAATCAATCTATCACCAGTGCACAGTGCGCACTAGTATTCAATATCACTGTGAAATAATCAAACAAACATCCAATATCAGTGATCGCAATGGGCCCTCAAGTTGATGTAAGTCAGATCATCGAGTTTAGTGTTCAGAAGGCTAACCTGAAGAAGCTGTATTGTTCCTATGAGCATGCCCTTAAGATACGGGCAGATGAGGTGTTGATGAGGCGGATGAGTGCAGTGAGAGCAAGTGTGAGTGGTTCACAAGGGAACAGATTGATGCAGGCGGGAGTAGGTGTCGCAGAGGAACATGTTGAGTCCCCAATGAAGAGATGGTTGCGTAGGGTGTTGAGGATGTTGGGTAGGAGGCGGGAAGAATAACACGGTGATCAGCTTCAATGTACTTTGCCACACAAATGTATCATAATACTCACAACTTCAACATTCATATCTAAGATTTGGCATGTGGGTCGCAAAGATAGAGTCATTGCAGGGCAATGACAAATGATCAGAGGACAGTAAGTTTGAGGACGATTGAGGGTGAAAGTCATTGATGACGATTGAGGACAAAAGATGTTCTTCAACTTGGTACGTGAGTTCGAAGAATGCTCGTGTTTCAAATTCGATAAATGTATCTCCTCGTAAATAGGTTGGAGGATGCAGCTCACAATTGTGGGCTGGCCTTCCAGAGGGCCAACCTGGTACCATCTGACTTGATTGCACCTAGAATCATCGTCAGAGTGGACATCCAGACAAATGAGATTACATACACCATCCAGAACCACGACCTGTATGCATTATTCACAATAACATGAGTCCAGTAGGACTGGCTCGTGTCATACGTCCCAAGACAGGTTCTAGCTTTTCCGTCAGCCAATTCAGATGACTATGTCACAAGGATACGTACCCACATCCTTGTTTCCATGAACAGTAGTGTTTATAGCGAGGATCTATGTGAACAAATATCACATTCCGCAATACATAGATGCAATGAGAGTAAAATGCTCACATCAAATCATGAGTGATTGCCAGAGGCTTCATCACTTTCAGAAGGATGATGATTGAAGCTGCCGTGATTGTCAGTGAGGTCGCTATTGTTATGATCATCTGTGGGATGTTACTCAAGTAAGTCCTGAGTTTTTGGTGGTGGTTCTGGCAGGTACTAGCGTGCATCAGCATGGCACACACTTGAATGAGGATTAGCATGGCCCGAGCTCAAAAAAAGATCAATGCACTCAGGTACAAGCATTGCAAAGAAAGGTTGAAACTGATCACGCAGAAGCATGTGAAACATGTTGAGCATTGAGCGAGCAAAAATAGTGCAAACAAGAGGCAAAAGATGAAAGGTAAATGGCAGATGGTAAATGGTAAATAGTAAACAGCAAACAGCAAGAAATAAAAGTCAGATATGAAAAAAAGAAGTCTCACTTGTCGTAGATGGTAGCAGTGTCCTCGGTGTTATCACACTCATGCTCCGCAATGGCTCTGAGAAGAGTGTTGTTTGTGCTGGCAGCAGGTGTCAACTGCTCATTAGAACCTCTGTCATATACTATTTCATGTTCCATGTCCTGTAGAGAGGCCGCCCAACCTGTGGTGAAGTCAAGACATTTTTTCTTCAGGAAGAACTTGACCATCTGTAATGCTTCCATCAAAATGGGGCTGAGGCGATTCCTTTTTTTGTATGGGTTTTGCTACTTGATAAAAATACCCGCTCACATGGCACAGCAGAAGCTTGTACCGGGGCATAGTCCAGGGCAATTGAGTATATGGTTGGGAACATGGTCCGTGAAGCCTGGTCAGCAACTCATAGTTAATGACAAATGGTGTGACTTAAGGAGGCAATGGACTCACATTCCAAAATGCGAGTATACTTGTTCCCTGGGGACTAAGAGTAGCCATGACATACACTGTGAACTCCTGGTCTACCATTTGACCACCATTGTTGTGATGCAGTGCATGCACATGTGCCTCAGGAATTCCATAGCGACGTGAGCCTAGCATGTGTGGCAATGGTCGTGGAGCCACTACAGGTCCGGAATATGCAGAATTAGAGTGTTCTGCTCTCTTGCGATGCATCTGCAAGACAAATCAGTCGAAAGTTGTGCTTGTATACTAAATAAACATACCAGCTTCACAATAAACTTCTTGGCTTTATTAACACAGTCTTCCTCCCATTGACTATTCATCCATGACATCCGCATCACAGGGTCAATAACTACATAAGTAATCATGAGATCAACATTTATTAAAACAAAACACAGGACTAACACATAGTGACAGCATAAGCATGTGTCACACTCATCCGATTAGTGTATTTGCTTGCCCAAGTTAAGCCTATGTCGACGATAGGCTTACAGTGAGGAACGTGCAGGCCAATAGATTCCCAGCTCTTGATCATTTCTTCAAACACTGGAATGGCATAGCTCAGTGAGGGAGTGGTTTCACTGGAGAGCTTTGCTGGGTGGCATGGGATGCCTGGTGTGAAATGGTTAAATGGATCATGTATTTCAAATGCAATAGTACTTACCTCCAAGATCACTTCCAGGTCCTGGAGAAACTGCCAATCCATCTCACTCAATCTTTTCTCAGATATGTTGCACTGAGTCCAAGCATCAAAAAACACGCTTATTGCCTGAGCCAGTGTTAGTCTATGATATATGATTGATGGTATGGCGTCTCACCTGGTAGAGTGTCTGCAAACAGTTTAACATAACATACACTGAATCCCATCTAGTAGGTTCATCAAGGAGGAGTTCTATGACTGGGAGCTGTGTAAGTTCGCCCTTGTCATCTCGAAACCACCCCTCCTCATTACCCCTAAGGATGGTGTCCCAAAATCTGTCGTGCTGCTGGTTTGATGCGTGAATCAATCACACAATGTTCCTGGCTTGCTCAAGAAGCTTAGCTTGCAATGCCCGGACATAGTCTACTTTCTTGATGATCTGATTTTCAACTGTTCATGTATCATCCACAATGGAGAAGTCAGTAACAGCGTATTTGTCGATGATGTGCTTTACACATATGTTTATGACATGTGGGAAACATGGTATCCTGTTTTCAACAGGATTAAAATCAATCCCACATTGCCCGAGTAGGTTTGAAAGCTCCTGCATTGAAGTGTGATTGTTGGATGCGTTGTCAAGAGTAAAATGCCCAGTCCAAACAATGTCAGAGCAAGCAACACAATACAAGTAAATACCAACCTTGGTCACAGTTTCTGCACGATCAAGCAGGTACAATATCATGGAACCTAGAGATTCTCCATCGTGACTGCCAGGGACATGATGGAACACAAGACACTGGGGTAAGTGTTGGAGGAGCTCATGTAGGTATCGGAAAACTGTGTTGACTTCTCTATTAGTACGGTGTCTTCCTTTCCACCAACCTCTCAATATACTGTGAGTGCATTACCCAAGCTAGGGAAAGTGGTGAGAGTTCTGATGAGCAGTTCGAAGCTGACAGCTTTTGCACAGCCAATATCATGCTTGCTGTTGAGCGTTTGGCAACCGGGAATGAGTCTCCAGGCTCTCCACCAATTTCCGATGATAATGCCTATGCCTATACTTGAGCTGGCATCTGAGAAAGCTTGTGGGTCTGAGTAAGAGGTTAGGGGGTATATATGCTGGGAGACACCTCCACTTTGCAGTGTGTTCGACCACCAATCGAGATTGTCCTTGATGTTCTTGAAGGGGCAGTGTGGTAATTGAGGCTTCTTTGTGCAGACACTTAGCATAGCTTCTAGTGATGTGAGGTAAGTGTGCCCTCTTCTTATGACTTGGCATGCATGCAACAGTTTTCCATAAAGCTCACGTACATCCTGGAGGACATGGACTGCTCTCTGGTGCCAATTGAGAATGGCCAATAAGTACTTACCAACTTTCAACGGGCTTAGAGAGACTGTGTGTTTGCTGACGTCCCAAACAAAACTGATGCAGGTAGTGTAAGTTGTGAATGGCTGATCTTTGTCCTTTTCCCATTTGATGCTGACATTAATGGAGAGTTTGTCGATGTCCTTGAGGCAGTAGCCGAATATATTGTCATGGTCTGATCTGAGGGATTGCTGTGATAGGTCTTTGAGGGGCCATGTGCAGTTTCGTTGAACTGTTTGATCGAATCGTCATTGAACACATGTCCTCTAAACCAGATCTTGCTCCATGATTGATGCATGCCTCTCTCTGTGAGGTCTTTATGCGACTGGGCATGTTGTCTATTGTAGTATCTAGGAATTCTTTATGAATATGTACGAATGAATGGTTGTCAACGTGGACTGATTCCTTGTGCTTTGCTTAACCTTCTCCTAGAAGACTTCTCGGATGAGTGGCACCCCAACACTTGTCGTTCACAAGGACCAATGCGAGCGCTGCCTTAAGCAGGACGTCTGCTGCCAAGGTCCTGAAGGTATGGGCTGCCAGAACTGCAGGTTTGCACGCCAGGGCTGTAAGTATGTCACACACAAAGGCAAAGGTAAGCCTCTTTCTCCTTTGTTTCATAATCCCTATGCTAACTCCTTTTCTAGGTCGTGCGATGAAGCCGTTGCCACAGCCGAAGGCTCGCACTGCATCTACCGCAGAGTTGATGCCCATTGCTGGACCTTCCAAAGAGGTCCTCATCCACAGCGCGCGCAGTACCATCGAGTTGTCTGATGAAGAGGATGCCATGGATGCTCGTCCGGCCATCGGCAAGAAGAGAAGAGAGGTGGAGGCTCTAGCTTTAGGCGATGTGGAGGATGCGGATGTGGAGGACTTGGAGATAGAGGCGCTGACATGCTCTGTCTACGTGCAAATGGCCACTATCCAGGCCATGATGGGTAAGGTTCTGAATGATGTAGACCTGCTCAACCTCTGCAACAAGAAGAGGTGCTGCCACGGTTAGATACTTTTCCTTGCCTGTCCTTGTCTACAATCCCCGCGCGCCATGTACAATTTAGCATAGATTCCAATACCGCACTTTGAATGAATATTTGTCTTGAGTTGTAGCACGGTTATGATCCTAAGTCTTGAGTCCAATGTCCATGTCCAATTTCAAATGACCAGTCCTAGCTCTGCTGTGTGCCTAAGAGATGAGTAAGATAAAATGAGCGTGTGCGCATTAGAAGGTGAATTGGATAAATGGTACTAGAGTTTGTGAGATACCACTCGTCTTGTCTTCTTCAGCGTGTGTTTTCTAACCTCTCCTCTTGCGGATGCGGTTATGCATATTTGGATTTCTCATATCAAGAAGGGCATGGTGCGCTGCCTACACATTCGAAGGGAAATGTATGGTAATCAGTGAATGCGCGGTGTAAAGAGTTGATTCCTAGTGGGCTTATACTAAGGGTGTTACCTTAAGACTCCAAAGTGCGAGCGAGATGTTCGTCCCAAGGGACTGCCTGTAGGATTATCTCTTGATATAAAGCAAGGGATATCTAGTTAAGATCGAAGATGAGAGAAGAGAAGTATACCTCTGGTACGTTCAGAGATCCGAGGAATAGTCCGAAGTATCCGATGAGTCGCCCGAAGTGTCCGGTAAAGGTCCGACGTCTAGAAACGAAGGTCCGAGGTTGCGCGAAGCTTCCAGCGAGCTTCCGATGAAACGGCAAGGTTTCCGGTAAAGTCTTTACAGCGGTTGTCGAAGTATAGGATTTTGCGTAGTGTAACTAGCAAAGCCCGTTGAAAGACTTAAGGATTTTAATAGAAAAAGATGGCAGTGGTGACACCAAACAATCGTTCCGAATGAACAAAGGTCGATTGTGAAGTACTAAAATCCAGAAGTGACAACTACTAACTATGACTCGAAGCAAGGGAAGTGAAGTCTCCTGCGAGTACCTAGCGAGCCAGAATATATCCTACAACGTGAAAGTCCGGAGTCTGTATAGGCGAAAACTGTAGCGAGATAAGACATCCGAAGTGTAATAAAACTCAAGGCAAACCGCTATGAAGATATACATGTAATAATGTACGAGGAGCATATCTATATGTATTAACAAGTGTTTTTCGACATACGTGCCCCTAAACATAATTAATAACCGGTAATCAAATGAGAAACGCACCAGCGAAGTCAAATGGACTAGGATAGGACATGGTACGGAGGATTTGGGAAAGCTAGGAAAGGCCTCGGAATCGGCGGACGACCTTCGGACGACTCGGACAGATGCGCGGAACTTTCGGAAGGTCGGAAGTGTGTCAAGGAGTATAAACATGATTATCACTAGATACGTGTCCAGCGCCAGCCCGAGTGTTACAGCGGTATAGTCCAGTCCTTTGAACAATGTCTGTGCTTTGTGATATAAATAAAAGTCTATGTGCAGAATGCACGTAACATACTAGATGAGTAGCGGAAAGGAAAATGAGAACACCAGTCGAATCCCAGGGTTAAACTGAGGCTATTGTACTAGGTCTTTGTTTTTATGACCAGAAATGGAAGCGATTGGAGTGGTTTAAGGGTGCGGGTGATAAAGAATGTGCAGGTTCAGGTGTCGTACTTGATCTCTTCGTCCTCGGGTTCTTCTATGTCTTCTGCAGCAATATCGTTCAGTGCTTCATTGCCTAAACCTGTGATTTGTGGGACTGATAGTTTAGTTTCACTGCGCAGAAAATAAGGAATCAAGTGGAAAGCCGCGTAGTGAAGTTTGGACACAGATCCATCTACTTCCACTAGGACATATGACCCACCTTTTGTGCAATGCAATACTACCATGGGCCCGAGATACCACAGCTTCGTCTTTTGATTTAGCTCGTACTCAATTCTGGAGTTGCACACTAGCACTAAGGCACCCGGATCAAAGTCATAATCCTTAATCGAGTCGTGGAAGTATTCTTCAAAATTTCGGATTGACTTATACCTAGCCTTCAATACTTTTTTCTTGATATCATTGAGGTCTTCTTGGCGCTTCTGGAGTTGATGCGCACACCATGCAATAAGGTCTGTCATAGTAAACTCGCTTTGTCCGGGTAATGCTACCTAGGGATCTGCACGGGTACAGGTAACCCGCGAGGGTCACAGGTACGGGTACTACTGGGGTATGGGTATGGGTCGGGATTCTAAGACCCGCACTCTTACCCGTACCCCAGCTATACCCGTGCCTTCCATAAATGTCATACTTCCCACGTGCACGCTACAACCGGCACCACCAAGAAGCACTCAGACTTCCTGCCGGCAATGCATCAAGCTTGGAAAAATGATAACTCTCAACGCAATCCATTTGAGAGCCGTTTTGCTTGTGAGTCGTGTCCTTTTGTTCTACAGTTCACAAACTAATTTATGGTAGCCATTACACAGGCTGCCATACATCTACAGCTCGCAAACTTCAGGCTGGGATCAACGTGTTTCTGCACACCGACATCTCTCCAAGCAGGCTAATCACCAGTAGTATTGATCTACAGGACCAACAGTAAGTTTGCTAATTAGTCTAAGAAAACTATGCTAATCAGCAAACTCGACAGGCAGCGCCTCAAGGTGGACATTGCCAACATGTCTCTTCAGAAGCACCCGCCACCACATCACTACCAACACCTTCGCATTTGGCGGTACTCACCATGTCCCCCACGCCACGTTTGACAACACCCACTATGTCGCTGTGCAGCACACTGACGGATGCCACCAGCAAGCACCATCCAGCACCTACGCGACACACTGACTCGCCAGCATCGAGCGTACATGCTCAGACCATGCCAGTGAATGCTGGTGTGGCTCGAATGCACATGGAAGACACCAGGATGAAGAGAGAAGGAAAAGAGGAGGAACGAGAGGAGGAAGGAAGGATCTTGTCAGTAAGTCACCATCCTGACTCTGCCCCCATTTTCTGCAATGAGGACGCGACACCCAACATGTCACACTCTCGCGCCACCACGCCACCATCTCCCATTTCGACACGCTCACCTTCAACTTCGATCGTACACACGAACACCCAGCGTGCGCCAGCAAATTTGCCCGCGCCTCCACTCCTTCCTGTGCCAACCACATATGTTCGAGTCACATCAGCATTCACTGATGTGTGCTGGACATATGTGCTAAGCACTGGCAGTGATACCTATGGTACCCACGGGTAAACCCTGCATGGGTGTGGGTACAGGTCTGAGCTTGTTGTACCCGCCAAAAACCTGTACCCGTCAGAGCATGTATGAGTTTTTGCTGGGTGCAGGTGCGGGTATGGCCTCCAATACCCAGGGGTTTACCCGTGCAGTTCCCTAATGCTACCAGAAATGTCCCTTCAACAAGGTCAAACGGAAAGATTAGCTCCATGCCGTGAAGACCTGTTGCGTGATGAATTGTTACGTGTTCGGCCCAAAATACCTTATGCACACATTGGTACCATCGGGACTCGTCCCCCTCACAACTTTTCATGATGGCCTCCCAGACATCATAGTGACACCTTTCTACTATACCATTGCCCTGTAAATTGTAAGGTGATATGCGGATAGGATGAATCCAATAGCGCACAGCTGATTCATCAACGGCCGCTATAAACGCAGGCCTGTTGTCAGTAACAATTTCGGTCACAGGTCCCCATCTGCAAAGGATTTCCTCGAAAATGAACGCGCCTAGAGATATAGCATTTTCTTTCCACAACATGCGCCATTCTGGGTATCCCATGAGTGTGCAATGTGCTTGAACTATGTGATTGAATCCGCCCGCTTTGGGCATCATCATGCAATCAAGGTGTGCTTTCTGAAAATTCTGCCCAGAATGGGCACGGTCAGAGGTATCTTGAGCTTTCGCAAATTTCAGATCTGGCATTTGTGACATGTCCGGTTATACCACTTGATATCGTCAGTAATCATCAGCCACCAAAAACATAAGAAAAGACGGGTTCGGATGCTAAATACTCCCTTGTGTCCGAGATCATTATGCACTTGTTTGATAATTTGAAAGTGCCGCACTTCCGGTACTACCAACTGATGTTTACCTTGAGAGTGCTTTCTCCATAGATTATTGTCAAATATGAAGAATTTCACCACATATGAAACGAAGGTTTTGAAACTCTCATCTGACAGATCTGTGGGTCTTTTCCGGTTATCCAGGAAGCTCTTTACTTTGGTTAGCCTTGCATCCTGTTCATGTGCGGTGTCGGAGCAAGGAATGCATGGTTCGCTAGTTTGCGGAGTGGAACCTAAGCATTCAATGATACATGGTGAGTGGGTTAGCATTGATGGTATGGGTACGAGTTGCGGAACACAGGTAATATCAACTCCAACGGATTTGATGGTGTATACCCTATTGTTCAGGATTTCTACTGCAAGGGAGTACGAGCGGTCAAGCCAATCCTCGTGATCATTGTCTTCAGACAGGTCATCATCAATGCACAGTCTCCTTGAGAGTCTGTCAGCTCCGGTATGCTTATCGGTGAATGCCAGGGTTTTCCTGGATGGTTTCATATGAGCCATCAGCTTGTTGATACCGGGTTTTTACCGATTTGATGGGAACATCATCTATGAACAGAAACATATGGTCAGGGATTTCATCTTGCAAAATGAATGCGGTGTCGCCTTGATATACTTGAACCGCATTCACGTGACCCTGCGGAAGCATAGTTAGCCAGTGCGGACCCAGTGGTGTTCCAAAGGTAGTGAGATCGCACAAATCAATGTGCAGCATGTGCTGATCATATCCAGCGTATAGATCGAGGAGATCGAATACTGCGCATGATCCGGTGAAGAGCGCTGCTAAATGTTCAACAAGCGGAGGGAGGGACAAATCTTGGATGGTTACTTTGTTTAGCAACTGGAGGTTGGGTACTAAGCGCAATGATGTTTTGTCCTTCGTGACTATGCAAAACCAGCTGGAATGGTAGGCCACGGTTGAAGGTTCATATACTCTGGAATGGATTTTCTCTTTGATGATGTGGATGACTTGTCCATGAATTGCGGGTGGAATAGGAATGTTATGTTATGACC